GATTTCCTAGGCACGGATGTTCGTGTGCGTGTCAGTCAAGGGGCTAAGAAGCGTGTGAGAAAGAGCAGGCTCAGAGGTAAGGGACGTTGGGGATGAGGAGGGGAATCTTCCTCTACCCTCTAGAAACATTTGACTCGAGAAAGGCGACCAGAGGACAGAAGAGGATCACAGAAAAGCCATTACAATTTTTTGTCTCTAACCTGCTTCTGTTAAAACATAGGACAGAATTCCCCCTTTTTACCTTGCTGACAGGCAAAGTAGAACAAGGTGTAAGACAGAAGTTGTTACTAGTGGATGGCATCAAACGTAACTGTGTGCTTAGTTCAAGTAAAATTAGAAACAGTTAAGAAGGGCTTGTCACAGAAGATGAGGCAGTAATGTATTGTTCTAGCAGCAAGCATTTTCAGCAGTTGCTGCTAGTTAGCTTATTTTCTGTCCTTTAGAAAAAAACTTAATTGCTCTGTTAGCTAAATACAGTACCCATTCCAATTAGCATTAAGAAGAATTAATCAAATTAATGTATTTTCTTAAAGAGTTCAAGTGAGTAGAACTAAATGAGTAGTTTTCCAAGTTGAAATTTTTAAGAACATTAATACAGTACACACATAGCTTGCACTGGAGAAACTATTCTATTTTTTATTCTAATAAAATTATTAGAATATATATTTTTATTATTATTCAAATGTTTATTCTAATAAAAAACTCCTTGGTAGGAGTTTTAAATGTATCTGCTTTCACCTTCTGCATTCATTAATAGTTGCTAAATTTTTTAATGACATCTGAGTAATTTTGAAAAGAAACTGATATTCTCAGGATATTCTCATTCTTCCTGTCACTGACAACAACTTTGATGATCCTTGAACATGGTATTGACCAGCAGAAAAAATTTTTACAGCTGAACGACCTAAAACTGCATATTATAGATGGCTGAAATAATTTTTTGGGGGGACTCATAGTGAACCGGCATTATCTAATTATGAATAGTGTCATATTGTTTGTCACAGCAATGCCATCTAGTCACCGTTGTAGAAAAGTATGCAACACTTCCTGCACACTAGGACCCAAACTTGCCAATTTTTCCCCTGTACTTCAAGGAGATACCAGCAATAAATAGGTACTAAATGTGTAGAAGTGACATTATCTTTTAAATTGTTTTTTTATGTACATTCCATTATCCTGAGGGAAAGGGAAGGTGTTTATTTTAAATTGTAAGAGTGTTGTTACCAAAAAAAGAATGGGCTCTGAATTGAGCCAGTGTTTTCCTTGTATTAAACAAAATTAGGCATTCTAGAGATAACAGCAGGGACTTTGTTGACCAAGACCTAGCTGCTTTAGTTTTTTCTCTTGATTTTTATCTATGTGTGACAGATTTTTCCTAAAAACTTGGAAGTCAAAGACTTCTATTAGCAGTAGATGATTTGAATAGTCAAGTCAATTGAAAATTCCCAGCCCACCTTTTCTTTGTCAGTCATTGTGTGCTTGTGTGTATGTTTAATACCAGCTCCTACCCTTCACTCTCCAAGGCCCTATTTTTGCATCCCTTCACGTGAATATCCATGCTCCTAATGACTTATGCCAGGTCCTGCGCCTGCGGACGGGGCTAGTCTAAGTCGTATCGTTGTTTTGTACCAGGCATTTACTGTCCCTGTCAATACGTAGAGGCGCTTGTTGAGGTTTGGTTCTCTAAGTGAGGTGGGGTGCTTAAGAAATTGCAGAGGGGAGAGGAGGAACTGAAGCGTGTAAAACAGTAGGGTGTATTAGAAGAGCAATGAGGACAACCCAATTCAGCGAAGAGAGAATCAGAAGGAAAACAACAGCACTCGGTCAGAGCTGAGATAGGATCTGTCTTCGGCTTTTCTATCATAAAAACGCAACTGAAGGTAATGGTGATACGTTTCACACGACTCTCATCACTTCTGTAACTGTTACGTACCATAAAGACGGTATAGATCATGGAAAGGGATATTTAAGTCACGAATGAAGATAATTGGCGTTGTGAGCACCTACATTTACTTTCTTATGTGAAAGTGATAAAATACAGCAAGGTTCTCCTTTTTGAGATGACCTACTTGCCCAAGTGATGGAAGCATGAAGGGCAAGCAACCATTTGGCACTCTATTTGATTGCCTCCCTATAGTAGCAAAAAGTTTTGTATAACATAACTTTTATAGTATAATTTACTAGTTAACCATATTTTAGCAGACTGTCAGAGAAAATAAATCACATTCATTCATTACATTTTTACATTTTAAGCACAAATGTGTGTTTAATTTGCCTCAATGGGTATAATAAAAATTCCCTGACGAGGCCCTTCTGGCAGGCTGCTGCAGGATGCTGCTTCTGGAAGCCCTAATTTTGGAAACACCAATGCTCTGATAGCAAGAAATGCCTTTTTCTGGAGTGGCAGAAGGAGATGGCGTTGGTTGAAAAGAAGGGTCAGATTCATTGCAAGAAGCTGGTCATGGCTGGTTTATGAAAGCAAGGGGTGGGGA